CCCCATGTGGGTCAGCTCCAGGTCGGCCACCCCATGTGGGTCAGCTCCAGCTGGCAGCCGGGGCTTGAGCTCACTGGCTGCAGTGGCTGCCCACAGCCTCACAGTGCTGAGACTTAACCCCTTGTGCCACCACGGAGACCTGACACATAATAGGTCTTAACAAATGTGGTTGAGGGTCCTCCCTGGTAGCACAACGGGTCTAAGCACGACACTGTGAAGCTGCTCATGGCCACTGCAGTAGGAGTTCAATCCCCAGCCAGGAGCTGACCCACATGGCGCAGCAGACCTCTCTGGTATCACCTGCTGCTCCCCTCAGCAGTGTGTTTCAGTCAGTCCTTCTGTTCTGCTTCCCACTCTGTCTCTGGTGAATCCTCTCACCCCCTGTATCTCTGACCTATACCCCAGTTCTTGTATGCATAAATACATAAATTAAAAAAAATTAAAAACAAAAACAAATGTGGTTGAAGCATCAGTGAAGATGAGTGGATGCAGCTAAGCAGAGGCTTTGAGGAGTTCTGAGGGAGGCCCCACAGAGCCAGAGGGAGGCAGCAAAGGCGGGTATGATGCGGAGAACACCTGAGAGTCCAGTAACTGCCCTCTGGTGAACTGAAGGATCCCTGGGACTCACCTCCATGAGGATCACAGCCTGCTCCTTGGGCACCGGGACCCCGACCCAGCAGAGTGGGGTAGCACCCACTGGACCACTCTGAGGCAGGGCTGCCAGTCACAGCCGGTCCTCTGGACTGGTGCCAGTCACTGTCCACCTTGCTTCCCTTCCCCCAGCTCCTCCAGCCCCAGCTTTCCTGGCAACTGGGAATCCCCTCACTCATTGCAGGCTCAGTGCCTTCTGACTCATGGCACAGCTCAGCTGGAAAACATCTGGCTATGCCCATGGCCCTGGCATCTGGCCCCTTCACTGGGCATAAAGGGCACCTCTCTTCAGACCCTCCATGAAATAGTTCCTCTATTAAGAAAATTTCACCACCCTGCCCCTCTGAAAATACCCAATAATAAACGGTTTGGCAAAGCACCCCACCCCCAACATTCTGTGCCAGGTGGAGTGGGAGTCCCAATCTTATCAGCTCATCACATTCCTGGCATTCCTGGGGGGGTGGGGGGCGGCAGTTGGCCGCAGAGGAGCGTGCTGCCTGGTTTAATATCCCGAGTCTCCATCAGGCACTGCGCCTCCCTATCCTCACCCCAGGCCCAGGGCTCCCGTCCATTCCATGGGCCTCCCGCCCCTCACACCGTGGACCCCATGTCCGGCTCCTCATTCTTCTTTTCTTTCAGTTCTTCTTTTCCCTCCATTTTCTTTTGTCTCTCAGCCCTTACCTCTCTGTCATCCCAGGAATTTGTGGTAGGAAGTGGGGAGACCAGTCTGGGGAGGTCTCTGCAGGTTTTTTTCTTGTCTGGCCAAGAACTCTGGTTTTGGTGTGGCCCCAGCTCTGCACCGGCTTCCTGTATATCCAGGATTTGCTCTCTCTGACCACAAATACCTCCCACCTCTCAGAGAGCTGGGGTTCTGGGCTCCATCCATGGCCTCTAACCCCTCCCAGGCTTATGGTCTGGGTCTGTCCTGGAAAAGGTGCCTCAAAACTTCTTCCAAATAGTACAGGACCAGAAGAGAGGGTGCGCTCTCCCCCTGCCTCCCACCGTCACCCAGCCCTGGGCCCCTCCTCTTTTAGGGCAGCTAGTCCATCTGCCTCACTCCACCTTTGCAGGTATTGGGCCCAGGTATTGGGTACTGAATGCAGCCTCCTTGTAAATCACTTAAAAGAATATCCCTGTGCCTGCAGGCCACGCCCCAACTCCTGGCCACAGAGAGACAGCTGAGGGGGACTGGAGTCCCTGAGCCCTGAGTTCTAATCCTAGCTGTGCCTCTCATTTGCAATGCAAACTGAGGCTAGTCATAAAGGTGCTCTGGGCCTCAGTTTCCCTGAGGAAATAGGAATGGACTAGTGGTCTCATCCATGACCTAGAACTCCTAGCAACGCTGAAATGACTAAAGTTTTGACAAGATCTTTAGGGGGGATATAGCACAAGACATTATGGAGTTTTCTCCCTCTGGAGACAGCTGCATTTTGTTTTTTAAAGGCCATTCCCTGGAGCTCCCACCTCTCCAGTGTTCCTTACCTCAGGCCCTTAGACCATTCTCTTATCAGAAAGGTGTGTAAAAATAAAAGTGGTACCATGAGAATCTCCAAACACACACGCACATCTCACAGCCAACATCAATCTTAGTGATGAAATACGGAAAGATTTTCTTCTGAAATCTGGTATCAGCTAAGGATCTCTATACCTATACTGTCCAATACCGCACTGAAGGTCCCAGACAGGGCAATAGACCAAGAAAAAAAATGTTATGAGGATTTTAAGGAGGAAACTGACAATATTTAAATGCACAATGGATTTTTGGAAAAAATTCAAAAATTGTACATGCTGTACACATGAATTTAGTGAAATCATTGCTATAAGATCAGTCTATGACATCAAATGTTTTTCAGTAACTACCAATACACAATTAAAGAAAGGAGCTAAAAATGTAACAGAACAGGGTGGTCCCCAGGAAAACGAGCTGAGCAGGGAGGAGAAGAATCTGGAGAGGACACTGAGGAGGAAGGAAGCAGGATGGAGTCAGCAGGAGGCCTGAGGGAGGCACGTGGAGCAGAGACATGTGAAGAAGCGGCTCTTGGCCCTGGACTGGTGAAAACAGACGTGGGTGAGAGCCCCGTGGGGAGGTTCACTGTGGCAGCATTCATTGATTTTGATTTTGCTCTTTTCCTCCCACACTTGTCTGGCCATGTCTGACCTTTTCCTATGGGTCCCCACTGGAAGGTGCTTTCTACTTGTAGCAGGCTTTCAGGCCTTGCTTTGGGCCACTCCTTTTGGGGTGGACTTCTTCTACCCACAAGGGGATGGGTAACTTCAAGTGTTTGATTCGGTAACTATAGTCTTTGTCTTTTCTGTATTGCTCCCTAATTGTATTAAAAATCCTTTCCATTAAAGGTCTTATCTGTTTTGACTTGATTCAGCAGATGGCAGAACCTATTTAGAGCAGGCAGGTTTGGGGTCCTGGAGTGCCCCTTTCTCTGCACTCTAACAAAAAGACAATGGTTCACAATAAAACTATCAAATTTCTGCCCAGATGTAAATCTAAACAAAAAGTACAAGATTGCTCAATACACAAAGAAATGTACGGGGTCAGTTGGACATTCACATGAGGGGAAACAATGGTACCTTGATCCCTAATTCACACCATACCAAAAATAAATTACACTTAGAAGTACATATTGAAGGTATTTAATACTTAGATGTAACTATTAAAACAATAGGAGAAAACATAGAATACTTTCCTGGCTTTGGGGAAGGCAGATAGATAAAGTCCACTGCTGAGGGGCGCAGTGGGTGAGAGGAGAGGTCTGCTGTGCCATGTGGTCACCTCGGGGCGGGGATGGAACTCCGCTGTGGCTGCAGCCGGCTTAGTAGTGCTGCGCTTTAACCCGTTGTGACACCAGGGAGGGTCCTGGAAAAGATGTTTTTAAACAGGGCACAGAAGTGTGCTAACCATACAAGAAAATTGGTAAGTTGTTCTGCATTAAAATTAAAAACCTGCCAGAAGTCACCACTCAGAATTGGAAAGGCAAGCTAGGGAGGGGGAAAGACATTTACAATGGCTTGTATCCAGAATATAAGAAATCCCGCAGATCCCTAGCAAGAAGATACACAGCCCACAACACATGGGCAGGAGCCGTGACCAGGCACACCCCAAATAAGGTTTTCTAAATGCCCTGCGAACCCCTGGGTAGGTGCTCACGCCAGGAGATGCAACCCCCCACGAGCTAACAGGGACCGAGGGACATGGCTAAATATCGGCAGGAATATGTCGCCCGGAGCCCGCCAGTGGGAGCGCAAGTCCACACAGCCACACTGGAAAACTTCGCAACAGCATGGACCCCTGTGGCCAGCAGTGCCACAGGTGGGGATTATCCAGCAGAACCACTCTCTGGCTCACACCTCAGGACAGACGGCACATTACACTAAACCAGGACGGTGGCCCAGAGAGCCTCATCAGCTAGCCCCAGGTCACACAGCAGCCACAAGGTCAGTTCAAAGTCCTGGGTTCCTGCCCCTGGCGCCTCTTCCCCACCACCTGGGGCCCTGGGCAGGCCTTCTCCTTAGGGCCTGGTTCCCCATCTTGTGGAGAGGGGAGAACACCACCACTTTCCTTGTAAAACCTGACTGCAGAGGGAGAGAACCGGCCTGGGTAACAGTATCTGGGCTTTCCCTGGCCAGGGGAGGTGGGGTGGGGTAGGGGGGCTCCTGCCCGTCACCCGGAGCACTCTGGAGAAAGTTCTGGAGGAGGCTGGGGCGAGGTGGAAGAAGAGAGGCGGGAAAAGACAGCCGGAGCAAGATACAAGCTGGTGGGCAACAGGGTGAGAGGAAGACCCAGTGGCCTTGAGAGGAGAGGGGCGAGGGTGCTCAGGAGCAGCGAAACCAGGGCCCTCCCTGGCAGCACAGTAGGTGAGCACGCAGCTCTATGAAGCTACTGCAGCTTACACACACACACACACACACACACACACACACACACACACAGGAGTTCAATCCCCGGGGAATCAAACTGTGGGTCAGCTCCCTGGCCTGGAAGACCTCTCCTGATCCACCCGCTGCTCCCCTCAGCAGTGCATTCACTGAAGCTGCCTGTTCTGCTCCCTACTCTCTCTGGTAAATCGTCTTACCGCCCCCCACCCTCTGACTTGTACCCCAGTTCTGCATGCATAAATAAATAAATAATTTTTTAAAAAAGCAGTGATATCTGGTATCCAGTGGTGGGTGGAAAATAAGCCTCCCTCCTCCACCACCCTCACCCCTCAGGAATGACACCCTCCCCTGCCGTTTTGCACCTCCCATCCCCCATGCTGAGTACTTAGGGAGGAATTAAAGGGAGCTGGTCTGCATTCCACACCTGGGCAGACGGGCTAGAGGCAGAGCCCGGAGCCCACCGGTGAGAGAAGAAGCAGAGTTTAGCGTAAGGCCACAAGCCCGGCATCAGAGAGGGAGGAGCGCCCAGCTTGGCTGTCAGCGTGAGGGGTAGGTCTGGAAGGAGTCAGGTGCCTGTGACTGATGCTTAGGCTCACGTGAAGCAGCACATTAGAAGCCTCTTCGGGCCCATCCTGCCCAGAACCTTCCCGTAGCCCCCTTCCAGCACAGGGCACAGGGCTACAGAAAACCGACCCCACAGACACAGAAGTGTGTGTAGGCTGGTGGTGCCCAGATGGCTGGAGGGGGCCATGGAGACTGACCACATGCAGAGACTGGAGAGAGCCCCCGTCCCACTCCCCCACCCAGGCCTTGGTTGAAGAGCCTGGTTCCTGAAGGAGCAGGGCTTAAAGGCAGTTCACAGACCCCAGGGGAAAGTCAGCAGGCCTGAGGCCTGGAACACAGGGCTGATGCCTTGCCCTGGGGGCAGCGGGGCAGGGCAGGGCAGGGCAGGGGGTGATGTAGCCCTGGACCCTCACCTCCCCCAGGATGAATGGGCGCTGAGAACCAGTTCCTAAGGGCACACTCTCTGCAGGATCCCCGCTGTCACACTGTCACGGAGCTGTCACCAGCAGGCCCTCCTGTGCAGAGGGACTTGGCTATCTCCAGTGCCCAGGTGAGTTGCCACCACACCCGGGGTGGGGATGGGGGCGCACAGCTGAGAAACCGGGGGCAGTGGGGACCCAGAGTGAATGGGCTGGAGGGCAGGGAGCGTGCTCTGCTCCTGCGGTTAAGGAGGCTCCAGGGCCTCGCGGATGAAGGGCCCTGGAGATGGACGGCATCTCAGGAGAGACAGCGCCCTCTTCATCCCCTCTTCATCGAGGGCCATCTCCAAAGGCCACCTCCCCAGCAAGCCTTCCCAGATGCCGACAGCAGAGAGGCTGCCCCGTCTCTCCCCATCCTCAACCTCGCGTGCAGTCTACGCCCGACCCTTCTCCAGAATGGGGCTGCTCTGCCCCTAGCCCCAGCTAAAGCTGTCGCCAGAACAGCAGGGGAAGGCTCCTCTGGTCTCCCTCAAGGTATCCGGTGTGGACTTGGGGGGACAGGTGCTCACTAGCACTCTACCTGTCAGACTTCCTGAGGGAGGTAGGAGGGAGCACAGGAAAGGTGGAGAACCTTCCAGAAGCTGGGACTGAAGTGAGCACTGGGGAGAAGGGTGTGGATCTCCTAGGAGAGCCACATCTCCCACCTCACACCTGCTTCCAGAGTGTTCACAGGCTGCTCAGGATGGGAAGTACCAGTCTACGCCTCTGGCCAGTCCCAGCCAGGGACAGCCACGTTGGGGCAAGGGAGGCTGGCCTCAGGGGTCCTGGAGTCTCTCTGGCTAAGGTCACCCCTGCTTCTGCCCTGAGGCAGAGTGAGGAGTACCCAGGAGGCAGACGGGGCAACTCCACCCCCAGGGTCCTCAGGGGTATCTGTAGGCCCAGGGTGCTGGCAGCAAAGGGGAGCAGGTGTTTACCTGGCTGGGAGAGGCTGGCTGCAGTTCAGGTCAGCTGCTCAAGCCACACCAAAAGGGAGTGTCCCCAGGGGCCAGCACCAGCAGTCTGTTCCTGGGTGCACCCACCCCCGGGTTCCCAGGGCACAGGTCAGGGCTAGAACGGCTGAGAAGCCTGCAGGTCTGGGTCCCCAACACCTCCAGAAGATCCCCCCCCCCCCACTCTCCTGGCCTGGCCTCCTCCTCCCAGCTAAACCTTTTAGGTGGGTGGGACCTGGCTGCCTGTCCAAGCCTGTCTATGCAGAGATGAGAGATTAGTGGAGAGAGAAAGAAAAGAGGGCTGAGAAAGGGGGAGACAGGACTTGGGATGGAAGTGGAGCGATGGACGCAGAGGACGGCGCAGGGGAGAAGGCTCCAGAAGGGACTTGGGCAGGGTGGTGGAGCGGCCCGCTTGCCCCGGCCCTGAGGGAGGACTGGGCCCTGCACTCTGCCCAGAAACCAGCACCTTAACGTTCTGGGGGTGCAGTCCAGCCTGTCTGCACCCACAGCAGTTTGGATGTGTGGTATGTGCTGGGAAGTAGCCGCCGCTTGCTGGGCGGACAAACCCAGGGCAGCACCCCCACCCCTGTCAAGCTCCTTGATTATTTTTTCCTGTCGGTTCTGCCTCAGGGAAGGCCTCCCGCCCAGGGTGTAAGGCAGGCAATAGCTTGTCTGACCCAGCCTGGCCCTGGGGGAGTCCTGTTCTTGGGGGGCTGGATAATCTGAGCTCGGGAGACCAGAGAGACTGCTCTTACCCCCATCCTTGGATCTTGGGAGGTCCCCTCCCTGCTCCCAACCTCTGCTGAGAACAGGCCAGAGTTTCTGGGATCCTGCCAGGCGGGTGGGCTGTGGGAGGGACGCAGGCAGGCAGCTACTGTTCTCATCTCCCATCCCCCAGGCCGGGCTCGCCAGGCTCCTGCCTCCTCCCACTTTCCTTCCCTCCCTATGTCCAGTGCCTGTTTGCCCGAGTGAGACAAGAGTAATGGACACAGCCAGGGCCTGACCCGAGGGCGCTGGCTCTGGGCCCGGAGCTGGGAACACTGTCCGTAAATATTTGGGGAGAGAATGGTGCCCGCCCCGCCCCACACAGCCACTTCTTTTCCGCAGCCACAGAGGGCTCTCAGGGGCAGGAGGCCATGATGCCTACCCCTCTGCCTCGGAGCTGCAATCTGCACAAGGATCTGGAGTCCGGGCTGCAGGGCTGCCCAGACTGGAGCGCCATCTTTACCACCCAAAGTGACACCACTCTGGCCACCCGCTTGCCTTTAGGAGGGCCGGTGTCTCCTCCAGCTGGGCAACCCCAGTCTTCTCTCTTGAGTAGCGAATCCTTTGTTGTTAGATGTTGTTAGTTTAGCTCTTGGCCTTCCAGGACCCCTGTAGTTGGCACAGGGGTGGAAATGAACCCTGTCTGGTCTTTGGAAAGTTACCTGTGGTCCTCACCCTGCAATGGAATGGTCCCCTGGCTGTCACTTGCCTGACAAGTCCCCGGGGGGAGGGGTGCCCCCGTGCCTTGGGGGACCCTCTTTCTTGTCCCTCCAGGAGCCTGGAGGGGGCACACCCTCAGCCTCCCAAGCCCTTCCCCTCCCCCTGTGGCCTCAGGTGGAGACAGGGATGTCTCTGGAGGAAGCTTCGGGACAGCTCCCACACCAGCCCCTGCTGTGGGATTGGCTGGGGTGGTCTCGGGCCCCTCTGCTCCAGGCCTAGGCCTCAGGAGACCTGCAGGTGCCGGGCAGCGCGGGGCTGGGCTGGACAGGTCATCCGTGCCCTCCTGCCTGCTTCCCCTGCCCAGTGCCCAACTGCTGACCTCAGGCCGTGGGAGGCCCTGGGCCGCTGCCCTGTTGTGCACTTTTGGGCAAGTTACTGCAATCCTCGAGGGCTCAGCTTCCCTGTCTGTGAGATGAACAAGCACATTGACTTCGTAAGGTTGTCTTAAGACCGATGGGAGCGTGCACGCGGGGCACTTCGCACGGGAGGGTTGAGAGCAAGCATTCAATAGACGTGAGCCACTGTGGCGCAGGCTTTGCACACTTACAGGCCACGTCTTCAACTGTCCCGGGCCCAGTTCTGGGGTGCTTCCCATGGCCTGGGGAGGAAGGTTGTGCGGGAAGTAACGTGATTTGGGTCTGGGCAGACTTCTGCACCAACCTCCTGGCCCTGCCTGGGCAGACCTGCTCCTGCCCACCACTGCCCTCCCCACCTTGGTTCTCACGGGTCCCCAGATCCAGTGCCTTCCTGCCACCCTGCCAGCCAGGCTGGTGCCCATCCCACTTCCAGGAAGAGGGAAGTAAACACGGCTGGGATGCCTGAGAAGCCCCCACATCCTCTCCGGAAGCACCACGGCTGCTGCTTGGGGCTCCTGTCCCTGTCAGGGCCTGGGAATTCCTAGGGCTTGGGTGAGGGTGAAACACCCCTTCCAGGAGCTGAGGGAAGAACAGGGCCCTTCCGGGTGCCAGAGAGGTAGGGTGGCTCCTGTCAAAGGCCCTGCACACACCCTGCCTGCACATCTAGTGAGCAGGAAGTGGTTTCTCAAGGTGGCTTTGATTTGCAGCTCCCTGGTGCCCAGTGATCTTGAGCGTCTCTTTAAGTCCTTACTGGCCACGGCAGATTCTCTTGGAGAATGTGTGCTCTGCAGTCACCTGCAGGCACCAACCCCCAGGCTGTCCTGACTTTCCTTCTCCCCACCACGCCTGTCTGCCCTGTAGGAGCAGCGCTGGCCACGCCCCTCCCCCCACTGAGCCTTCTCCAGGATCCTTGCTTGCAGCTATGATAAGGTTTTGGTGAGGCTCCTGTGAAGACCCTTGCATGGTCAAGCAATAGTCAAAGCTTTGGGAAACCCAGTGGGTGGATGCTACCCCTCTCCAGGATTTTGCCAAGGCCAATGAGGCTTAGAGAAACCCCAAAGCCAATGGTCTCCTTCTTAACCCAGAATTTCCCAAGTGACTTTGATGACAGATTACCATGCCTGCCCATAAGTTTCTGTTCCCAGCTTTCTCAAGGTATCACTCATACACCTTACCGCTCACTCATTTAGACTGCAAGTCGGGGCCCTCCCTGGTGGCACAATGGGTAAAAGATAACTATGAGGTTATCTGCAGCCACTGTGGCATGAGTTCTACTCCCCTCCCCCAAGGAGCTGACCCACATGTCCCACCTGCTGCTCCCCTCAGCAGTGCGTTTCAGTAGATCTGCCTGTTATGTCTCTGGTGAATCCACTCACCCCCTGCACCTCTGGTCTGTACCCCAGTTCTTGTGTGCATATATAAGTAAATCTTTAAAAAATAAGAGTACAAGGCTTTTAGTTGTGCAACCATCACTACAATCAATTTTGGAAGGTTCATCACTCCTAACAGAAACCACATAACAGGAACCACGTGCCCGCTGGTGGTCAGCCCCAACGTGGCTACTTCATCCCTCCCACTCAACCCTAGGCAACAACCCATCTACTTTCTGTCCCTAGATTTGGCCATTCTGGACGTTTTGGAGAAATGGAATCACCTTATGCTGACCTCTTTCACTGGCAAGGTCTTGTAAGGTCTGTCAACAAAGGGTGTGTATCAATCCTTCATTTCTTATAGCCAAATCACGGTCCATCATGGGACTATACTACACTTTGTTTATCCATTCATTTAATGGATGTTTGGATTGTTTTGTCTTTGGGTCTCCTAGGAATAATGTTGCTATGAACATTCACATACAAGTATTTGTAGGTTTTTGTGTTTTCATTTCTCTTGGGAGTGAACTGCCTGGCCAAACGGTAACCCCACGCTTAACTATTTGAGGAAATGCCAGGCTACTTTTTGAAGTGATTGCGTCATTTTACACAGCCACCTTTGCCTGCTGAAATTCCTACCAGCAATGTCTCAGGGCCTCAATTCCTCTGCATCTTTGCCTAGTCTGACCCTCTGGTTCCAGCCATCCTGGTGGGTGTGGAGCCAGGGCTCCTGTGGCTTTCATTTGCATTTTTCTCATGATTAGTAGGTGAAAATATGGCACAACGGTCCTTTACATATCTTATTTTAAAAGATTTATCTTATTTATTTATGCACACAAGAGCTGGGGTACAGGCCAGAGGTGGGGCGGGGGAGCAGTGAGCGGATTCACCAGAGAAAGAGTGGGGAGCGGAACAGGCAGATGTACTGAAACACACTGCTGAAGGGAGCAGTGGGCAGGACAGGAGTGTCTGCTGCGCCACGTGGGTCATCTGCCTGGCCTGGGATCGAACTCATGCTGCGGTGGCCGCCTAAAGCTTGATAGTGCTGAGACTTAACACCCTGCACCACCAGGGAGCCCCGGCCTCATCCTTTCACATGTGGACATCTATTCCTCGCCCACCGCTCCCCTTGTATGTGCACAAGCCATCCTGTGGCACCTCTAGTGCTCCAGGGATCAGCAAAGGGCACGCCAACCTGCAAGGTCAGGTTCAAGCTCCTCAGCCTGGGCAAGGTTTCTCCCCACTGCCCCCAACTTGCCTTTCCCCTGTTTATCTAGACTGGCCTCTTCCTACAACCTAGTCTTGCACGCTTTCTGGCCTCCACACCTGAGAATACGCTGTCCCAACAATTCCTCCCTAACCCTATTCCTGCCCCCCACACCTCTGCCTGCTGAAATGCACCCACCCACTAAGGAATAGTAACACCTAACTTGTGTTGGGCACATGCTATGTGTGTACCAGACATTTTCCTGAGCGCTTACTTGCGGCACCTTATTGATCTTACACCAGCCCTGCGAGGTGTATACACCTACTAACCCACCTCACCAACAGGGAAATGCAAGTTCAGGGTGGTTGACCGCGGCCTGCGGTTACACAGGTAGAAAGTGATGGTGGGAGAATGTGCACCCTGGTCACCCACTGCAGAGCCCTCTCTTTAACTCCTGTCCCAAGGACTTCTGATCACCGCCACCACGTCACGGGCACCAAACTGTTTGTGGAGCTCTACTCACCAGGCATTTCTCTGAAATAACAAGTCAGCGAGTGAGTAAAAGAATTCATAGGACTGCATTGTCAGAGCTGGAAGGAGCCCAGGTGGCTCCTTTTTTTTTTTTTTAAAGATTCATTTATGCATACAGAACTGGGGTGTACAGGCCAAGGTGCGGGGTGGGGAGCGAGTGAGACGATTCACCCAAGACAGAGTGGGGAGCAGAACGGCAGACTGACTGAAATCCACTGCTGAGGGGAGCAGCGGGTGAGACAGGAGGGGTCTGCTGCGCCCTGTGGGTCAGCGCCTGGCGGGGGTTTGCACTTGTGCAGAAGTGGCTGCTGATAGTGTCACAGTGTTGCTCCTTAACCCACTGCGCCACCAGGGAGGGCTCAGTGCACTTGGTCTGGAGAGGGGAGGCTCTGTGACTGGAGCAGGCCCACAGGGTGGAGGCAGAGACCATGCCAGGACCTGCTCCCTTTGCCTCCTGCCTGGCAGTTTGGATGCTGCACCTGCAGCACCTCCATGCCACTCATATTTATCAAATACCTTCTCTGTGCCAGTCTGAGTGTGTTTCAGGTAATCAGGACCCCAGGGAGCCAGCCCTGTCTCTCCTCCAAGAGACAGAGGCTCAGGCTGGCAGGTACCTCCAGGGCCTCGAGACCCTCTGGCTCCTCCTCCACACAGGGACATCCCCTGGGCTCCGGCCCAGTTCTGTTCCCGTGGAGGGAGCGCCGGGAACTGGGGAGGCGGCATGCAGCCAGGGGCACAGGGCGGGCCGGAGGAAGGGCCCTGGGTCTGCTCACTTCCTGACACCCTTGTTTGCCGTGTGCCCCTGGCTTCTGGTGGCGGTTTCCGCCCCGCCCACAGCCTCTCTACTGAGTGGGCAGCAGGCCTGGGGCTGGAATTCTCCCACCTTCCATGGCTTCAACTGTCGGGCAGCTGGGCCCTCTCCTCAGAGCCCAGCAGACCCAGATGAGAATCTTGCTCCCTCAACAGCTGTGTGGCCTTGGGCATGTTACTTTGGGCATGGGACTTTTGTTTCTTCTTTTGGATAAGAGGACAATGGGGCTGACCTCATAGTCCTGTCATGAAGAATAAAGGACAGCATATACATGAAGCTCCTAGTGCAATAAAAACTGTTACTCCTTTTCTCAGTCTACCTCTCCCCATTTACCTCCTCCAGGAAGTCTTCTAGGATGCTTACCCCCCCCATGTCTCCTTATCTCTGTTTGGGGGCTCAGTAGGAGCCCTGAGAAGGCAGGCTGGGCTCCTCTGTGTTGGGGTTCTGTGACAGATTCCCCAGGCATGGGTGCCTCCACTAACTCTTGGGTGTCTATTTCCCTGACACAGAAACACCCACCTCTCACAGGGGTGTAGGGGACCCATGAGGATCACTGTTGAGTTCTTCAGTAGACCAGAGGAGATTCAATGTGATGCGCGTCAAGGGCAGGAGGCACTGCTGTCAGGGTGGAGAGAGAGGAGCCTGAGTTTGCTTTTCCTGGAGGTCACAGCTGTGGGGAACACACAGCCACCCGTCCCCCCACCATCCCAGTAAAAAGTACTATCTATTAAGCTATTGTTCTGTGACAAGCACCTTGCAAGTTCTCATTTGCTCTCCACAATGATGAGGACATGATTATTAACTCCATTTTAAACAAACTCAGATTCAGAGAACTTAGGCAACTTTGCCCAAGCTAATAAGCCACATGTGGCCAAATGTGATCAAAGAGGAATCAGGATTATACTGGAGCAGAGAGCATCTGTTGGGACCCAGGGAGCTTGGGAAGAAGGTGGATTTTGGCAGGCCTTGAAGGCAGGGACATCATCAAAGGGCAGGAAGCTGGAGTGATGCCTGCGGGCAGGAGGAACACCCTGAGCAAGGCCTCGAGAAAGGGGTGGGCAGGCCTTGGGGGATGAAGTCTCCACCCCTGGGCTGGGGTTGCGTAGGAGGCTGGGAGGATGTGTCGGTAGGGTTAAAGGTAAAAGAGGTACTGGGAGCCGTGGGGGTGAGGACCCTCAAGCCCTGGACCGAGGAGCTGGGTGTTAGACTTGGTTTTAGACTTGGTTCTGTAAGGCATCCAGGTTGACTTTTGTGTGTGGTCAGGTCAGAAGGAGCAGGAAGGCCTCCGGGGCCAGATGGACAATTGAGGGGAAAAGGGATGGTAGCCTGAGGCCTGAAGCTCACCCGCCTGTGTAACCTCAGTTGGGCTCCAACAGCCCCCAGATGTGGGCATGATCCTTACATCTTCACAAATAAAGACACCCAGATGATGAGAGGCATTGGCCTAGGGACACGCGCTTGACAGTGAGGGTGGGTGACAATGCTCTGAGGTCTTTTTGGGGTGTCTGTCGGCAGAGAGTAGGCCTTGGATGAATGCAGTGGAGATCCCAGAGGTTGACCCTGGGGTCACCCAGACAGCTAAGACTAGATGCTGGAAGGGAGGAAAGCAGGACTGCGGGGTCGATGCCCAAGGTGCAGATGGCGAGAGACCTGTGGGCACTACGGCCCCAGAAAACTGTCCTGCATGAGCTTCCAGACTGTGTGCTGATGGCCCCCGAATACAGGCCGCACTTCTGGGGAATTTCCCTCTGCTGGTGAGGTTGGGATGCACCACCTTGGGGTCCCTCCTGGACTCTGGCCTTATCTAGGGCCCAGGGCAGCTACCACGCAGCCCTGCACCACCATGCAGGGTGCTGCTGGCCTCCTTGGGGCGGGGCATCCCAGCCACCCTTCCTACCCACACCCCTGGCCTAAAGGCCTCAGCTCCATCTCCATGTCTCCCACCAGCAGACCCAGGGGCTTTCTCCTTCCTTCCCCACCCCAGTCCCTGGGGTCTCCTCCAGCCCCTTTCTAGTCCACAAGGGCTGCCAGACAGTCCCGGATGAGCTCATCAGTTCTGTTCAGCTCCAAGTCCAAAAGCAGCCTCTCGGCTCCTGGCCCAGGTCTCAGTGCTCCTGGTGGGCCCCCAACTAACAGCTGCCCCCCCACGGTGCTCCCTTCTCAGCAGTCCAGGTGGGGGTGCTGCTGGGAGCTGGAGCAGCTTGGAGCCTCAAGCCCCATCCCCCCTGGAGGAGGAGGCCCTGCCTGTCCAGACCAAGGTGTGGAAGGGGAATCCCAGAGGGAAAAGACCAAGACCCTGGGGAACTGGTTTTGCGGAAGATGAAATCTCCACCATTTCCTCCTTGTGCTCATAATTAACCTGAGCCGGCAGGCCGGAGGAGGAGCCCAGCTCACCACCACAGGCCCTTAGGTTTTTTTTTTTTCCCCTGCCCTTTTCCCGCATCCTTCCCCGCTCCCTTTCCTTCCCCTTGCCCCTTGACTGCTGAACCTTCTACCCAGGGTCCTGGCTTCTGCCTTGCATTTTCATGGGCACTTCAGGGGACAGGGCCATAGGAAGTAGAAGGGTATTTTTTTAAGTTCAAAATTCTTTAATGTCATTTAGTAGCAAATAATGATAGTGTCCTAAATCGGAAACTTAAGGTTGTTAAAAATTAAGAACTTCTTTCTTTAATCTATTTTTAAAATAATATGATAGTTTATTTTTACATCATTTTGTGCCTTTTTCCATCTCAGTTGTAATCCCTGTGGGCTTCCCATCACCGAATCACCCATGTGCCATCACCATAATCCCATGAACTTCCCTCCCCACCCCCCCATTTTGGACCCCATTCCCCACTCCACCCCCCTAAAATGTCTCTGGTATATAGCTGTTCATTATTATTATTTTCTCGCTTGGTCCTTTATACTCCTGCTATGAGTGAAACCATCCAGTATTTTTCCTTTTCTTTCTGGCTTATTTCACTCAGCATGGCCCCGCGAGGGTTGCTGTGGTCCCAAGATAAGAGGGCCACTCAGGAGCTCCCTCTGAGGCTGCCCCCTGGCTCACCCAAGGGCCTGCTCACACACCACCCTGCAGGCTGGGAGAGGCAGCGCCTGTGGCCTTGCTGAACCTGTGAGTGCAGAGAGAGGGGCCTGGGGCAGGAGGACTGGGTGGGAGCTGGGAGAGGCGGTGACCTGTTACTCAGGCCTCGGGAGCAGGGAGGAAGTGAGTCAGTGGGCTCAGCAGAGTCACGCCTCAGAGGCTTGATTTTCCTTTTTAACCCACAGAGCCAAGACGGAGAGGGGGGGGGGAGCGACAGGAGCTGGAGAACATTCTGGAGCGTCTTTTTAGGACTCTGAAGAGTATGTGGCTGAATGAACTAGGCAGGACAGTGTGTGGCGACCCCAGGACCCTGGGGTGCAGGAAGCACTTAGCGAGGTCAGCAAACACTTCTGGGCCCTGGTTCTGAGACTTCTCAACAAACCTGTGATGCTAAGATCTTTAGATCCAATTTATAAGAGGAAAACTGAGACCAAGAGAGGTGAAGGGACTTGTCCGAGGTCACAGCCTATAATCATTCTACAAGCCCAAGCTAGAAGTCAAATGAATACAAGGCATGGGTGTGTGTGGTGCAGGGAACTAGGTAAAGGTAGGAAGTGAAAACTCATGAAAGATTTTGAAGAACAAGTGGCTATTTTCCACGTGAACAAGTGGGTAAAGGAACTTCGGGGCAGATAACCCAGCACGTAGCACCGACCAGCTGCGTATGTCTGTGGGTCAGGCCCTGAGACAGGTAAGCAGGTTGTAGGGGTCAGGGATTCAGGGGCTGGAGCCAGGCTGGGGAGCTGGAGGGCCCAGTGTAACCCAAGGGCAGGACACCTGCTCCAGGAAGAGCAGGCTGGTGACTGCTCAAGCACCCAGGGTGACTGGGGGCTGGTGGGGGTTGGGGGGTACCTGGTGGAGGTGTTCACTGCTCTTGTATCGCAGGCATCTCAGTATTTTTAGTTGTAAAGTGGGAAACATCCCCACCACTCAAAGTAGTTAAAAGATCACACATAGAGGTCCCTCCCTGGTGGCACAGCAGGTTGGCACTGCACTGTGAAGCTAAGTCAAGCCAAGCCATGGCCACTTCAGTGCGAGTTCTGTCCCCAGCCCCAGAGGTGACCCACATGGTGCAGCAGACCTCTCCTCTCTCACCCGCTGCTCCCCTCAGCAGTGTACTTCGTCCATCTGCCTGTTCTGCTCCCCACTCTGTCTCTGGTGAAGCCTCTCACTGCCCCTGCACCTCTGTCCTGTACTCCAGTTCTATATGCATAAATAAATAAATCTTTTTTTTTTAATATAAGCTCACACGGACAAAGGGTCAGGTACACGATAGGCCTCAATAAATATTAGCTTCCTTTCCCATTCAAATGTGCACAAAACATTCCAGAGACACACCGTGGCACAAACATGTGGTACGTGACAGATGTACCTCTGCATCCACACACATGTGGAGCTCTCCACGGACAATCTCACATCATTCCCCACCCCCAGCAGAAAATCTAAGGAGTGTGTGTGGGGGAGAGGAGGGGTGCAGATGATGGTCCTCCACTCCCACCTGAGCGTGGGGAAGTAGACTTCTCCCCGGAAGACCCCTGGGAGCTGGGGACTCCCTCAGATGGAGCTGCCATGCCAGCCCCTATGGCCTCCAACCCAAGGGCTGCTGTAATAGAAGCCAGAGGATGTTGTAGGAGCTAATCTTCCAGCCAGAAGGGCGATGCATGGTCTGCAGTGAGGAGGCCATGCAGGAGGACCGAGGGAGACAGGAGGGTGGGGTAGGCAGCTGGCAGGGGGAGTCCTGAGTTTAGGTCATTGCCTATTTGTTGTTGTTTAAAGATTTATTTATTTATGCACACAGAACTGGGGCACAGGCCGGAGGCGCAGGGGTGGTGAGAGGATTCACCAGAGACAGAGCGGGGAGCAGAACAGGCTGACTGATGAAGAACACTGCTGAGGGGAGCCGTGGGCGGGTCAGGAGAGGTCTGCCGCGCCCTGTGGGTCACCTCTGGGGCAGGGATTGAACTCATGCTGGAGTGGGTGCAGTTAGCTTCATAGTGCTGTGCTTCAGCCCATTGTGCCACCAGGGAGGGCCCTCATTGCCTGCTTGTACCCACATCCCATCTGCTATTTCCCTCCACCCCAGCAGGCCCTTCTGTACCTGTATGTAAAGTTCAAGTCAAATCAGTGTCTGAGTCCTTTTCCCTCCACCCTCTGCCCACATCCCCCTCAGCCTGCCTCGCCCTTTACCCACATTATTACAGCAGCCCCCACTCACCCCTCCACCCCAGCATGGTCTCTCTGGCAATGCGAGCTTGTGCTGTGGACAAAATGTTCTCACGAGCCCCATGGCTCCACAAACACAGCCCTGAATACCAGGCCATAGGCTTTAGCCTCTCCAAATTTGAGGCTCTCAGAACGCGAGGTCAGGATGAAACCTCAGCCTCCCGGAAGATGTCCTCCTTCCTCCCTGACACCCTGGGGGAACTCAGCCAGGTTGTTGATGAATGTTTGGGGCAGACAAATTCTGAGCCAGGGAAGTAGCCTGGACGATGCACCTGCCCCGATTCTCTATCTGGGTCAGGGGAGAAAGGAAATCTGATAAACCTTTCATGCTTCACTGTTCTTCCCTCCCTCCCTAGTAACTTTTGTTTTCAAGTCACCTCAGCGATAGAGCCCCAAGTTCAACAGCTGAGATTTGGTCCACTTAGTTAATAAGTATTAGGAGCTTTGGGCCACACCGAACACCAGTTGAGGAACAATGAGGCATTTCCTTCAGCTCTTTCACTTCACAGGTGGGGAAACTGAGGCCAGGAGAAGGAAAGTAACTTGCTCAAGGTGAGCGGGAGCAAGAGGGTGGCATTCACGCCGCCACTGCCATCCCACTGTTCCTCCAGCAGTGGCCTACACCCCACGTCTCTGTGCAGACCTGTGAGGGGTTGTGAGCAAGAGGTGTCTGGGGCTTCAGGAAAGCACAGTTGGGGGGGGTGCCTGGGAGGTAGGCAGAGAGAGGCTGTTTGAACACAGCAGGCGCTAAATAAATGGAAGTTACCTTTATAGAACACTGACCTTACCATTGTTGCGCCTGAGCAAGCTTCACCCCAAAACAGTTCTCCCCTCTCCTGCTTTCTTGCCTGGAGGATTCCTTTCACTAATTCTTTCCCCTGGTGTGTTCAGACACTTCTCCAGGAAGCCTTCCCGACCCCACAACAGAACCACATTGTGCACTTTGTTGAGATACTTGCAGCAGTCGGTGGGCCACACCCCAGGTTTGGGTCCTGTGGAAAAGTGTGGGTTTTTTTATTTTTATTTTTATTTTTTTTAATTTACAGCATTGAGGTCTCTGGGAAGAGCAGAGCCAGCTTTTAAAGCAGGTCTGAAATGGCTTGAGAGAGCAACAAAAGAAGATTGGAGATTGGCCTGGGGTTTTACTGTGGTTAGGGAGTATAGCTGGGGTGACCATTTGCTCAGAAAGGGGCTTGCGTGGTTCAAATCTCTCCTGGATGCAGAAGCGAGCCCCCAGGCTCTCTGACCAGCCTGCCCTGGTGAGGGCCCCAGGGAATGAGGATGCTCAGTCTGAAAATTACCTACAAATGGTAAGGCGAGTCTTAAAAGCTGCCAGCCATCAACATCAATAAATGGACTCAGACTCCTCAATACTTTCTTCACCTGCCCTTGTTTTTCTCTCTGTGTCCACATTTCTAGGTGGGTCCCTCATGGAAAGGATGGGCATGCTCAAGTCGGTGGAGGGAGGAGATAAGGCCACCAGAACCAGAGGATTTTAGACATCTGGCATGCACGCGGGATTGCTCTTTCTGCACCTCTCCAGTCCAGAATATCTCCTAGTGTCTACATGTCTCCCCCAGATCTGTCTGATACTCCCCCACATTCCTTAGTTCAGGCTCACCCCCTACCAGGCAGCCCTGTTCCTGCTCCCACATTCCCTCCGGACACTCCCTTGGAATGGAAAAACCATCCCTCATCCCTTTCCTGCTCCCAGCCCTGGGATCGGACATGCTGGCCATTCCTGTTTGGGATGGCCAAAGAGATAAGGACTGGCATGGAGCCCATCTGTCATCCCAGAAGTGTCAGAGCTGTTTCTAGTGGGTCCCCTGCCTATACAGAGCGTCTACCCTGCCCTCTTGTTCCTATCTCCCCTTCTCCAGGGACAACACGGAGGACCCAGCCGCCAGCCGGTAGGAGAGCAAGGTAACTGTTAAACTTCCATCCGGGTCAGCTTCCTGTTCCTTGACCCCAGATATCTCCTAACCTCTGGACACCCTGGGCCACAAGTCAGAACATGGAGAGAGGCTGTGTGACTCCAGCTGTCACAGCGGAGGAACAAATGCTGTCCTAAGGGCAGACAGGGACCAGTGTCCCTTCCCAAACGGCTCAGAGAAAGCTGTTGTGGCAGCTGCTTTTGTTTAGGCAGCTGGCTATCTGACCAACATCTGCCTGGAGTTTGTCTCTTAAAGACACAGCTGTGCTCATGAGTCCAGTCCTAGCTTTGCTCCCGGGAGCTGTGAGACGCTGGACACCCAGGTTTCCCTGGGAGTCAGATGAAGATGGTAATCCTGACCTCACAGGAGGCTGCAGGGCGAAGTGAGATGATTCATGAGCCGGAAAGTGTGTGGTGACGTCTCTTCCCAGGTTACCAATCTCCCTTTGGGCTCTTAATTCTTAATTCTCTTCCTTGCAGAGGCCTCCAAATTGTAAAACCTCCAGGCCCCTGAGTGTTGTACAAATGTTAATTATTAGCAGAGCAGTCAAGAATGGGGTCAGTTAGCACAGGACTGAAATCTCAGCGGTGTGACCTTCACCACCCTGCTCAACCTCCCTGAGTCTCAGTATCTTCATCTTAAAATACAAGTGTTGCCTGGGCATGAAGATTGGATGTAACAGTACCGGTAAAGCCTTCACAGAAGCCCCGACCACGTGGTAGTTTTCTTATTGTTGTAAACCTCAGAGCCTCAGCCTCCTGAACTTAGGGGGAATGAGATCTGAGGGCGGACCGGATAGAATGCGAGAGCTGCTTAGCTTGGAGGGAAGAATGCTCCCGCAAAATGCGTCCTTGTGCTGCCGGAGGGACATCCGAGTTAGATCTAGAAAGTACATCGTGACCTCCTGAATGTCCCTTTCAGCTAGATTCTTCCAGGGTAACCAGACTTCTGGGTCCCGCCCACCTACTTGCACCTGGCACTATATACCTGCGGGGGCCGGCGCCAGGTCCAACTGCCAGCGCTCAGCCTGGGTCAGCGTGGGAGGAGGAGACCTCGAGGGCTGGGCTGGGCTGGGCTGGGCCCCTGGGGCAGGAGTGAATGGGAAGTGGCTGCCGTCTGGACCCACCTTGCTGGCCACTCAGTGCCTGCACTTTCAGAAGAAAAGACTCACTTCCACATCAATGGGCTGACCACAAGACCCAAAGGCGCTGTCCTTTGGGGGAAAAAAACGCTGTCGTGGTGCTCCTTGCCTTAGCGGCTTCGTTTTTCCCACTGTTAAATATCTGTCTTTGCTGAGAGGCCTTCCCCAGGGTGCGTAGGGGTGGGTGGGCAAAAGAAAGAAATCTCGATGAAGGGCTGGGAGAGGGGAAGAAAGCCCAGAGGCCGCCAGCGGCCTCCGGAGACTCACAGCGCAGCGGAGGCGAGTCGGGCTTCCCAGCCGGCGGCGCGCGAAGTCGGCTCCCAGATGCCAGGAGCTCCCCCGGCCGGCAGAGGTGGCCGCGCCTGGAGCGGCCTTTTCAGCTGCAGTAAATGCCCCAGCAAAGCGGCCGGACACATCCCAGCCTCAGCCCCGCCCGTCCAATCCATCTCGCTCAGGAGACGACGTTCCCCGGAGAAACTAGGGGCGGAGGGGGAAAAGCAAGCCTTTCGGGGCTCCCGACAGGTGTCTGGGGGAGAGGGCGGGGCCGGCCTGGGGGGGATGAGGAGGGAGGGGCAGCGCTGCCCCTTTAAAAGGCGGTGGCGGAGCCGGGACCTTTTCTTTTTTCCCCGGAAGGAAAGCGAGGCCCGGGCTGGGCGCGCAAGGTGGGAGGTGTGGGGCTGGGCGTGGGGGGGGCGGGGCGCGCAGGCTGGGGGGCCGCTCCCTCGCGTTCTCCTTGCGGTCTACCGTTCCGCCAGCCCAGACCCGCCGCGGAGCCGGGATCGAAGGCGACAGTGCCGCCCAGGGGGCGCGGCCGGGACGAGCTGAGGGTGCCCGACGCGGGGGTGGCGTGCGCACCCGTGGGGGGCAGGCAGGGAACAGAACTGCGGACCTGGAGGGGAATCTGAGGGTGCGGGCTCTCCGCGGACGTGGAACTGACCGGGGCTGGAGGGCCAGAAACTGATCGGCGCTGCAGAGCACAGCGAGGCTGCAGGCTGGTGCGGTGGGAGCAGGTGAACAGGTCCTCACCTCCGGGTGCGCGCCCCCACGCGCCCTTATCCCGGGGCCCGCGCCTCCTCTCAGCCATGGGCCCCGGGCCCCGCCGAGCCGCCCGGGCTCCGCGCCCAGTGCTCTGTGCACTCGCCTTGATGGTGGCCGCCGGCGGCCGCGTCGCCTCTGCCTTCAATCTAGACACCCGATTCCTGGTGGTGAAGGAGGCCGGGAACCCAGGCAGCCTGTTTGGCTACTCGGTCGCCCTCCACCGGCAGACGGAACGGCAGCAACGCTACCTGTAAGTGAGTCTGGCGGGGGCAGGGTGGGAGAGGGAGCTTGTGTGCAAGATGTGGATCCAGCATTGAGTGGGAATCCTGGATCCGCTGGTAGTCGGGTCTGCGGCCGCCAGCCTTGTGAGCAAGGATTAAGGGGGCGGGGCCCCGGGCAGCCCTCTGGCTGCAGAGGTTTGGCGAGAAGTGCAGGAATTGGGTGTGAGATGGGGGCAAGTGCTGACCTGGCCATGGGTTGCTGACCTGATCTCTAGATGAGACCCCTCTGCTCTTTAAACCTTTCTCAAGAGCCTAAATGGGATATCCACTGCCTGGAACCGAGTACCTAGTATGCTGAATGCCTTTGCTCTATAGGGCTGCGAATTGGGGACAACTGAAAGATAAACACGGAGGGGTCCCTTTCTCCCTTTCCTGGGAAGAACCTGTGGGCATATGCATTTAAACTCCCCCACTCCCTTATTCCGTGCTTTTAGTCTGCAGCCACAGCAGCCACACCCTCTGCAGAGCTAGACCCGAGGGCCTTCTCCACTGCTTGGAGGCTGGAGCTGTCCAGGAGCTCCTTCTGACCTCTGGAGAATGAAGGGAGCAGAGAGCTGGGAGGGATTGTCCTAACCCTTGCTTGCTCCCCCACCCCAGCCAGCCTGTGACACCCTCCCACCAGACATCTTCCCCGCATTCCACAGATTCATGTTGAATCTTCAGCCCTTAGTATGTTTGTTTTGGTTTGAAGAGGGAAATGGTGTTTTTCTCTTTCTTCTGGTCTCCTTTCTCAACAGCTGCAAAAAATAGGAGGGGAAGAACTAGGCATGCTGGAGAGAGGGGAAGGAACTAATCCAGCTGCTTGGGTCCTTCTCGTCCCACCCCCAAAATCTATACTCACACTCAGCCCCCTGCAGGCTGGTGGTGAGGAGAGGTCAGGCAGCTCCACCTGCCTCTGCTGGCCTCTTTGGGCCAGGTAGCCCACCAGACATCCGGCCCCAGCGGTGTCTGAGCTCCCTGAAAGGACATCAGATAAAAGGTGTGTTGAAACCTCTCCCAAGTCTGGTTGGGTCCTGCAGAAACTTGAGGAAACTTGGAATGTCCAAAGTCCATATTTTGTCCCGGCCCCAGCCCCTGCCCTCCTGGCCAAGCCTCTGCCCAGACTACGTACCTACACGTGGCTGCTGCCCTGTCTTGCTTCTGTAGGGGCTGGAGCCACCACACCCTTCCCTGTCCGGCCCCAGGATGTACACGGTCATTTGCACAAATGTCTATATTGGGGCGCTTTCAGCCCAGAAGATTTTTAGATTTCACTGCTGACTCTCCATGATATGAAGCAGTACATGGTAAAGAGAAGATCAGGCTGGAAAGAAGAGTTAGTGGTTCTGCATGGGCCCCTCCTCCTCGATCTTGAGCAAGATATTTCCTTTCTTTGGGCGAGTTTTCTCCAAGGAGGGTATGGAAGGGGATGTATATGTTCCTTCCTGTCTCTGTTGGCCTGTAAGGGATGCCTGGGCTTGGAAACAGACGAGGCTCCAGGGTCCGCTGCCAGTTTCCTGTCTTGGATCTGTACCACTACCTGTATCTTAATTTTCTCACCTGTCGGAAGGGAAACAACATACCCTCTTCAGGGGGCAAAAGTACCTTAATGAATCAGTGTGTGCAGAATGTGCTGTTTGCCTGCTTTTCTGAAGGGCAGCTGAGGGTTCTTATGTGGAAGCCAGGTTCTGATGTACTCCTACTGCCTAAAGGCCTCACCCACGATGACCGAAGCAGAGAAGTTCCACTCTTTATTTTTGGGTGAGCCCAGACAAATGAATGTTGGTGAGGCAGGTAGTTCTAAATAGAGTTCTGGGTCTCCCTTTTGGGTATTCCCAGTCTTTCCCAGGGGTGGTTCTATATCTTGACTCACCTCTCCTCACTGAATTCTGCCTGATGGCCCTTTGGAAAAGCCAGCTGGGCTTAGCTACTGCCAGCTGGGTAGCCAGATGTGAACAGCTGCCCGAGTGCACAGTTCAGGGAGCTAGCAAGTCAAGTTGCTGTCGGATATTCTATTGGCTCTGGAGAAGGGACAGTATTTGTATTCCTGAACAAACTCTTATTTGGCCTGAGCTTCATAGGTTTTCAGGAGATGCAGGGACCCCGGAAAGTAAGCCCCAAACTATGCATGCTTGTGCCTTGCTCCGGGAGTGGGTGGAGGGGGAGATCACAGGTCCATCAGATTCCCAGAAGGCCTCGTTCCGGAAATGGGCAAAAGTGCAAGTGTAGACGCTCCTTGTTGCCCCATCATGTTCATCTCTGGACTGGGGTTCACGGCCCACAATATCAGAGGCTTGCCCCAAGCTGGGCCTCAATCCCTTCATCTCCAGAAGTGAGGGGTGAGGAGCAGGATGGAGGAGCAAAGTGCTTTGACTTCTGGTGAGGGCCCCAGAGAGGAGAGGGGATATTCCTCTGGAAGGTGATACTCAGCACCCCTCCCCCGGGCCCCCAACCAGCTCCTGCTCTGCATCCCCATGGGAGCCCAGGTGCCCTGGGCTGGCTCACCTGGTGGGCATGCAGCGTCCTTCGGGCCCTCTCTCTCCCTTTGCACTCGCCTGGAAATGAGGGTGTCTGGGAAGCCAGGCACGGGGTGGGGAGTGCCGGGGCTCCTGGAAGATGAAGTCACACCTGAGGTAGGCAGGAGCCAGTTTACGTGCCTGCGCTCTTAAAACATGTTTTCTGGGCAGGGCAGGCGCCTGGCAGCCTCCAGGGCTCGTGCCAGAGGAAACAGGCACATGGGCCGAAGGCGAGGATGTGGAGTGTTCTTTGCCTCCGGCCCTCTCCAGTGACCTGTCCAGTCCAAAGCGTCTTAAACTGGACTGGAGATAGAGGGAACTGATGGGTAGAAAGAGGAGCGAAAGGGGCTTAGTCAGAATTAAACAAAGGAGAAAGGAGATGTCGCATCTGCAAGAGGGACTGAGGTTAGGTGACAGGAAGAATGCCCTAAGGGATCAAATATGGCAAAAATACCAAAGAGCCAGGGAGAGTGAAAAGAAATGAGAAAAGCAGCCTTGTTCCTTTTTATCTTTGGCTTGGACCAAGCCTCTTTCTCCCATCCTCTCTGATTCTCTCGTTTCCTCCAGCTTGTTGCTCTGGTTCTAGGGCTGAGTCACAGGAGGGGAGAGGGGGCTGGGTGGGCAGCAGAAGTAGGGAGAGGGGGAGAGGGCTGCAGTTTCAGCTTCCACAGGACCAGCCTCTGGGGAGATGGCTAATTCGGGCAGCGAGGTTGGCATGGAGCTGGGAGCCAGGCTCTGAGAGCTGCCCTACCCCCACCCCAGGACCAAGCTTGAGCAGCCTCAGCTCTGCCTCCTGGCCCGGGGTGGAAGGGAAACTCAGGTGTCTACAGAACTGGGGCACATGACGTGGAGTTGGGGGGCCTTGGCTTCAGTGCTGGCACTCGGGCTCCTCAAGATAACGGAGAGCTTCCCCTGGGCCCACCCCAGCACCTCCTTGAGGTGAGGGTCTGGGAAGCTGGATCGTACAAGCTGCTTCTCTGAGCAGCGCCCCCCTCCCAGGGCCCTCCAGGGGCCCGCTTCTCCAGTGCCAGCTGACCTGGTACCCTGAGTGCTTCTGGGCTCGGTTCCCCAACTGTCTTCGTTCTGCTACTTTCTCCCTGACAGAGGCTTGCCCCAAGCAAGCTTTCAACTGCCCTGGAAGCAAGACGGGGCAGAAAGGTGAGGACGTGCTTTTCTGGAACTTGAAGCTCAGGGGCTCCCCAGAGACCAGGAGGGGCTGTTTAAAGGAAAGGTTGAAGAAGCAGTTGTTTGAAAACCATTAGAGGTTTTTACCCATCCACCTATCTCAGGGAGAGGGGGCCCCCTTGCCTCCCCAGCCCAGTTTGACTCCAGAAGAGTCCAATCTCTGTTCCTTGTTCCAAGAGCTGGGCATCTGTGCCCTTCTGACTCTGCTGGAGGGTGGGCTCAGAGGTGGTCTGAGGGGGTCTGCTTTTGGACTCTTTGAACTGCACTTCACCGGACAGAAGGTAGCCAAATGCTCATTTGCAAATTGATATACCTTGTATTTTCATAGCAGTAACTGCTCTCCGGGTCCCCCCCCACACACACACACCTGGCTGTAGCTGGAGGAATCTGGGCCTGAGCCTCCGCATACCCGCCCTGCCTTCCCCCATCCACGCCAAGTCCCCTGGCTGTAGACCCGTTGGATCCCGGGCTGGGTGCCAGAGGGCCTTAAAGGGCTTCTACGCAGGCCAAGTAGGAGCTAAAAATATTCCAGAGGGGTGGGGGGCTCCCTGTGGAGCCTCTGGGGGGAGGGGCCTTGATGTGGGGCTGGGATTAGGTACTGGCATTGCCCACTGCCCATCAGTGAGTGGCATGACTCTGGAGGAGAGTAAGGACGGGAGGGATGGATGGTGAAGGGGTTTATTTCTTTCTTTTTTTTTTTTTTTAAAGACTTCCTTTATTTGTGCATACAGAACTGGGGTACAGGCCAGAGGCTCAGGGGCGGCGAGAGGCTTCGCCAGAGACAGAGTGGGGAGCAGAACAGGCAGATCGACGAAGTACACTGCTGAGGGGAGCAGCGGGCGGGTCAGGAGAGGTCTGCCGCGCCAATTGGTCTCCTCCGGGGCAGGCGGGAATCGAACTCATGCGGAAGTGGCTTTTGCTTCTCAGTGCAGTGCTTTAACCCGCTGCGCCACCAGGGAGGGCTGAAGGGGTTTATTTCAATCCAAATGCCTTCCACGCCCAGCTCTGCCTGCTTGGCACAGCAGAAGCCAAGAGGAGGGCTCCCCCAGCCCACTTCTGAGATGAAGAAGCTTATAAGGGCCAGGGTCACCTGCTCCTCGGCTGCCTCCTGCCCTGGCCGCCTGGGCAGTGGGCAGCATGGGCAGACACTCTTCTACTGCATTTCATACCCTGGAATGTACCCTGGGTGCCCCAGGGACCAACTTTGAAATCATTTTAGCCACCCTCAGCCTCCATAGCTCCAGCCAAATCTGACCGCCGCCCTAGGCGAGCATCGCCTCTGTGCCCGGCCGCCCTACCACCATAGTGGCTGCTAGGTACACATAGGTCCGGAAGTGCCATGTGTGTCCCGTCTTTGCTTCCTCTACACAGCTGAGCTAGTTTATATTCTGCTGTCTGGTCTAAGTCCCCTAATCCAGGGAGAGGAGGAGAAGTACAGAAATTTCTAGGGTGCTAAGGGGAGGCCTGGGGAGTCCCGGGGCTATTGACGGAGCCACAGGAATCAGAATATCAGTGCTTACCTCGCCATGGCTTCAGGCCCGAAAGCCCTTCCACAGACTGAGCCCACGTGTCCCCCAGCAGCCCCAAAGGTCGCTACTGCCCCATCTCACAGGTGAGCACTCAGGCCCAAAAAGGGAAAGGAAACTGCCCTTCAGGCGAACAAACCCTAGCTCCAGGCTCCAGGTGGGGAGCAGCTCCTCTCCCACGTGGCTTTGGCCTCCTCGCTCATCTCTCAGGAACACCAGGGAGCGGATGTCCTTGTGTGGTCAGGCAGTGAACTCACCGGGCACCCTCCCCAGCCCAGACAGAGGGTGACTAACCAGCCTGGCTGGCTCCCTGCCAGCCTTCCAGCTCTGAGGAGCGGCTGCACCCCTGCCCCCCGGGAACACTTCCCTAGGGTGAGGTCTGAGCTGCGATGTGAAGTGCAGGCAGAAGGCCCGCCCCCTTCCTGGCACCCCCAGGCAGCACATTCCTGACACTCAGTGGGCAGAGGCACCTCAGGCCCCAGCATGCCCAGCCTGCCCTGCCCGTTCCCTGCAACCCTGGTGCGCAGGTCCCAGGCTAAAGCTACAAGCAGAGCTGTTGCTCGTTGCTATGCACTTCTAGACTCTGGCAGGAGGCCAGAGCCCAAGTTTCTGAGCCGGGCGCCTCGGGGCGACACATTGCTGGGACCAGATGGAGGGGTACCCAGGTGGTGGCTGCCACCCAGGAGGCTGGGTCCATCGAGGCCAGCCCCTGCCTTCCTCTCTTCCAGTCACTGCTCTGCTACCCTGGCACCCAGGACCCTGCCATACTCAGCTCTCTGGTAGCAAGGGCCTAGTGCACTTGGAGGAACTTGCCGTGGGTGTCCCTAAAAATGGCAGACCAGGGCAAGGCAATGGGCAAGGGGGATCACTCTGTCCATCCCCTAAGAGCTGGGCCCTGGGAGGCCACGTTACCCCAGCCCAGGAACCCAGCTCCACCCACACCTGTGTGCCTGTGCAGGTGTCACGTGGGGGGTCACCTAGGAGCCCAGGCCTGCTAACTTGGCTTAGGGGGGACAACCCAGACTCCAACGACTACCCTTCACCCACTGTCCCCTCCACCCCCTGGAGCTGAGCCTGCCAGGGCTCTGCCAGCCTTGCTTTCCTCCGGTCTCCCTTTATCCCAGAGGCTAACTGACGCACTCCTCCACACCTAGACCTGACCCAGTCGCTCCTTGCTTAAAACCAACTTGCTGTGCTGCCCATCCTGGCCCCGCCCGGGCTCCAGCTGGACTCAGATCTTGCGGGTGCCTGAATCACCCTGCTCGTTCATGCTTCCTGGCCCCGGCCTGGCTGTACCTTTGCCAGAGATGCTCTTCCTCCTTCCACCTGGTGAACCCCAGTCATCCCCCAACTCAGGCCAGGGTCTTCTCTTCTGTGAGCCTGACTGCCATCCAGGCTGACTGTGGGGGACTAGCCCTGATTTATGGGGCCCTGACTGAGGTGTCTGTCTTCTTCCCATCTTCCTTCCACGGGAGACTCTTGGAGGCCAAGGGCTGGGATTCATTTGTCTCCCCGATCCCCACACAGCCTGGCACACAGCCTGGCACAGAGCAAGTACTCAGTAACTGGATGTGGGACAGCAATTAGTTTGAAGCAACTTTGGGGAGTCTGGGCCCCGGGGTAACCTACCTTCTTGCCCCCCAGGCTCCTGGTTGGTGCCCCCCGGGACCTTGCCGTGCCTGATGGCTATACCAACCGGACCGGAGCCGTGTACCTGTGCCCACTTACTGCCAGCAAGGATGACTGTGAGCGGATGGACATTGTGGAGAAAAGTGAGGGGCTTGGGACTGGGGTCACTGCTGGGTATAGAGCCCGGTGGAGGAGGTGGTGTGGGCAGGATGGCTGGAGGAGAGAGAAGGTTTGCCTGGGCAGTTTCTAGTCACTTCTTGTCCAGCTGGGAAGTACAAGCCCTAAGGGAGAGTGAGGCCATATGGGATTTGTGGAGCTTAGGCTAATATCGGGCTAGAGAAGGGCGGCATGGTGGGCCGACCTGCTGGAGTGGCGAGCCAAGAGGGCCCAACCCCTGCCATCTGCAGGCTCTGGGCACTGGGCAGATGGGGTGCCTGGGCTCATGGTCCTGCTTATACTTACAGGTGATCCTGAGCATCACATTATTGAGGACATGTGGCTCGGGGTGACTGTGGCCAGCCAGGGTCCTGCAGGCAGAGTCCTGGTAAGTGGGCAGTCGCTGTCAGCTCCCCTCGTCCCACACTCCCTGCCTTCACTTCCTGGGCGGAGAGAAGCGGAAGGCAGGCGAGGGGTCTCAGTGCCTGAGCTGGGGCCTGGCAAATGTCCATTTCTGTGGCCGGGAGTCTTTGGGGGCATGAGTGTCCCTTGATCCTGTACTAATGGGAGGGGTGGGGACTGGCATGCTCTGAATCACCCACATCCTCCCTACCCTCCACCCCCCAGGGTAATCACCCTTCGTGGGAACCAGCTGAGGGAACTGCTGTGAGGAAAGGGCAGAGAGGGCCTCAGGCAGAGCAGCCTGGACACACTCCTTTCTGGGAGGCCGGCTGGCGGAAGAGACACAGCCCTGCTGCCCCCCGTTCCTGTGGCTCGGGGGGCCACTCCCTGCTGTGAACTGTCATCTCCTGCCCATATTCTTCAGTGCCAGTCTCAATGTATGCATCCCAGACAGACAATTATTTTTTCATTTTCTTAATTGATGGAGCATTTAGACATAGTCAAATACACAGATTATTTTTTCAAAGATGTATTTATTTATGCATACAAGAACTGGGGTACAGGCCAGAGGTAGGGAGAGGATTCACCAAAAGCAAAGTGGGGAGCAGGATAGATGGACTGATTGAAATAATACACTGCTGAGGGGAGCAGTGGGAGCGACAGGAGAGGCCGGCTGTGCCATGAGGGTCAGCTCCCTAGCCGGGATGGAACTCTTGCTGCAGTAGCTGTGGCTAGTACCATAACTCTGAGCTTTAACCCCTTGCATCACCAAGGCACCTCCTGCCGCCAACACAGATTTTAAGTTTAAGTGCATTTTGACAAATTAGGAACATGAATAGTCACCGGTCGTGTGGGTTTAGGGTTCTACCTAAGACAGTTCCAGGGCTGAGTCCGTCAGCAGATGTCTGTTCAGCCATCCATTCGTTCAGCCCATTTTCGTGAGCACCTACTATGTGCTCCACAGTGTGCCGGCCCTGGGAAGTTAGCAGTGATCGTGACGGGCACAGGCGCTGGCTGGTGGACTCAGAGCTGGAGGGGACACGAAGGCAAGTCAACAAGAACCAGACCTATTTTGGGGGCTGCTTCCCAACGCCCTGTTCTGACTGATTTGCTGATGATTTCCCAAGCACCTCTAGTATGTGAGGACCCAGGGAGGGGCAGCTCACCCTCACACTTCTGCCCTCAGTCTGGGCGCTGGGAGCCGCCCGCTTTGGCTTGAATCTTCTCTGTCTCTCTTCAGATGGTCAGGCAGAGATTTAGTTCTTTGTGCCTCAGTTTTCTTACTTAAAGTGGGGGGAATAATTGTCCCCACTTCACAGGGGAGTTAAGAGGCTTAAAAGTTAGTGCGTGAAGAGCTTGGAATTGTGTCTGGGCTGTAGCAAGCACTCGGTCAGGTTATCTGCTGCTATTATTGCTGTTGTTATTATTTTAATAATGGTCCTTTCATTAAGAGAAAGGGTCATCTGGGGCCAGCAGAGAAACTGCCTGGCATCTAGCTCCTTTCAGACCCTAAAGCCTGAACCCCACATCCTCTCACCCCTTTGCCACGATCTCTAAGTAACTCTTGAATCCCATACCTCTGACTCTCCAGAATGTACCCCCACCCTTCAGAGCAGATCTCTGAGTTCTGGGAAGGAGCGGCGGGTCCAGGTGTCACTGTGGGCAGGAAGGAATGCCACGAGCCCCCTCCAGCTCCTCCTCCGCACTCAGACATGCCCAGGCCCAGGGAGACAGCAGGCTAGACCGCTGGACTCCACTGCAGGCTCAGGCTGTGTGTGCTGGGGGGTCCCCAGGTCTGTGCCCACCGATACACCCAGGTGCTGTGGTCGGGGTCAGAAGATCAGCGGCGCATGGTGGGCAGGTGCTACGTGCGGGGCAATGATCTGCAGCTAGACCCCACGGACGACTGGCAGACCTACCACAACGAGATGTGCAACAGCAACACCGGCTACCTGGAGACTGGCATGTGCCAGCTGGGCACCAGTGGGGGCTTCACCCAGAACACCGTGTACTTTGGCGCCCCTGGTGACTACAATTGGAAAGGTGGGGACCTGGGGAAGGGGGGAGGGACAGAGAACACCCATCTCCCCATTAGCCACGGGACAGCGGCCCAGAGCCTCCACACCAGAGGGCAGAAGAGACAGCACCTCTTTACCAGTGTCAGCAACCGCCCCCCCCCCCACTGTTTTAAAGCACTTACTACGTACCAATGTGCCATCGGCTCTAGACATACCACACTAACTAATCCTAAAATACTCTCATGAGGCGAGTGTTATTATACCCATTTCACGGAAAAATGAGCCGCAGGGAACTGCAGTGCATTGTCCAAGCTCAGCATCAAACAGTGAAGCCGTGACTGCAACGCGGAGCCTGACTCCAGCGTAGCCATGGAAAGGCACCTTAAAAAATTAAGACACGCGCCTTGTAGAACTACCATCAGGACAGTAGGATTCAGGAAGGTAAAGAGTAAAACGCCCCTCCTCTCCCAACACCCTCTGCACAAGGATCGTGTGGCTCCTTCCAGATTCATTTTAAAATGTACCGTATCTTCAAAACGCACGCACATAGCACTAGCTAAAGGTGCTTTTTCCTTATGGGTAAATTATAGTATTTTTTCAGACTAGTACATACATGGCGATCTTTGGGGGGCTGTAGCACATCGAGAGCCACACTTGGGCCGACAGTAGTCCCCTGATCTGCGAGCTCACCTTCTGTGATTTCAGTTACCTGCGGCTAACAGGTATCTGCAAATTTTATGCATAGTGAGACACTTTGAGAGAGAGCACATTCACCTAACTTTGGTTACCCTAGATTGTTGTCGTTGGCATTATATTAGCTATTGTTGTCCATCTCTTCGTGTGTCTAATTTATAAATTGAAACTTGTAGGTATGTATGTATAAGAAAAAACAGTATATAGAGGCTTCCGGCACCACAGGGAGTCTTGGGAAATGTCCCCCTGTAGAGGAGGGACCCACTGTTCCAACTGCAGTTACCACTCAGGTGTCTGACACCCTCTCTGACTGCTTCTCAGCCACACACAGTGTGACCCTCCTCTCCCTTACTGCACCCTCATGGTTGCAGAATCAACAGGCAGAGGGTGCCCCGAATCTCCTCTTGACAGTCCTGGGTAGCCATAGCTCTGGGCTCCCCGTAGGCAGAGGCCTCAGCTCTCTCCTCTGTCCTGCCTTCCACCCCAGGCCTTTCAGAGCCTTGGCACACTCCCCAGTGCAGCCCCAGGGAAGCTGGGACAAGTGGACAGCTGAGTTTGGGGACAGGACCAGGAGAGGAGGTATGGAGGCTAGCGTCAGTGTCTGGCCGGGGACGCCCCTTCTAGTCTCCTGGAGCCTGGATGCTCAGATTCCAGTCATGTGTCCACAGCTAACTGCCCATCCTACTTTTCTCATCTGTAAGATAGGGTCCCCATTCTGCCCTGCAGAACTGGTAAGATAGAGGAAGTGTTCTGCAGATAGCAAAGTGTTGAGGAATCAAAGTTGTCATTATTTGTTACGAAAGCAACTTTGTTGCCATGAGGGACACAGCAATTGTGAAGCAGATTTGCAAGGCAAGACTCTGCTTGTGCCATTTATTGAAATACAGGCCTGTAAAAGCTGATCATGCAACCATGGAATGAGGAATAATGTCCAGAGGGTAGAATAGGAATGGGGGAAATAGTTTTACAAGGGACAGGAAAAGGGACATCATGACCATACATCAAGAGCCATTTGTGTCAGCAAAGTGTCTGATGTTATCACAGGCAGAGTTATCTCAAGACCACCATGAAGATGTCACGCAATCAGGTCAACAACGGCCAAGGCGTCCCCAGGCCTGCTTCCCGACACAGGCTATTCTCCGTGGTCATCAAGGAATGCTCTGCTGTGATTTATAGATAGCAAATAGGCCACAGTTGCCTGTGAATGGCCAGCTAGTAGCCAGCTCTAGGAAGCCACAATTAGTATCATATCTTGGGGGTGGGCTGTGCCCAGACATGTTGGCGGAAAGGGAAGGTGACATATCTCTTCCTCCAAATCCTTGTGAAGGAAACAACTACATGATTCAGCGGAAGGACTGGGATTTATCCGAGTACAGTTACAAGGGCCTAGAGGACCAAGGAAACCTCTATATTGGTGAGTCCAGTTTTGATGGCTCATTGGGTACAGGAAAGCATGGCACACCGGTCTCTCACCTACATGCCTGGCCAAGCGTGAGATCAGAGTGCAGGTGTGACCAGTGACATTTACTTCAACTTGCACACACTTATTGAGCACCACCTGTGTGTACCAAAAATGCAAAGTCAGTCCCCTCATGGACTCACAGTCCAGGGGGCAGGCAGGCCAGGGGGCTGGGCAGACTTCTGGGCATAGGGGAATAGAAGGTAAGGGGCAAGTTTGGACTGGGTCCAGAATAGAAGGGGACAAAGCTTGCTAAGACCTGAACTGACCACCTTCCCTCATCCCAGGGTACACGGTGCAGGTGGGCAGTGCCATCCTGCACCCCACGGAGATCACTGTCGTGACGGGCGCCCCGCGGCACAGACACATGGGTGCTGTCTTCTTGCTGAGCCAGGATACAGGTGGAGACCTGCGGAGGAGGCAGGTGCTGGAGGGCACGCAGGTGGGCGCCTACTTTGGCAGCGCCATTGCCCTGGCAGACCTGAACAATGATGGGTGAGAATCCAGGGCGACCCTCTGGGGCGGGGTGAGTGGTGAGTGGGGCCGGCTGGCCCCAACCTGGGCAGAGAGATTGCAATTGAATTTTCGTTTGGATGCTGTTTGCAGGGATTTGAAAGTCAGTTTTATCTATTCATTTGCAATCAAATGTTAGAGAAAACAGGTGGGTTCTGGGTATCTCATGACATCTGCAGCTCCTGTGTGTCATTTGTATAGGTATAGTGCATGTGGGCTTCTCCTTGGCAGGTATTTTCTGATCAATAGGTCAGGTTGGCATTTCCATGTCCTTCTCATCACCTATGGCCAGAGCTACCATTTGCACAGCTGTGTGCCGGCATGACTGTGCCCACTAGTGTTATGCCACCTATTGGGGGCTGACCTCACACTTTTGTTTCTCCCTCCTCTCCTGTGCAGGTGGCAGGATCTCCTGGTGGGTGCCCCCTACTACTTTGAGCGGAAAGAAGAGGTAGGGGGTGCCGTCTATGTCTACATGAACCAGGCAGGCACCTCCTTCCCTGCCCAGCCCTCTCTCCTCCTGCACGGCCCCAGTCGCTCCGCCTTTGGCTTCTCTGTGGCCAGCATTGGAGACATCAACCAGGATGGATTTCAGGGTAGGAGCCAGCACTCCTGCCCCTCACACACACTGAGTGCCAGCTGCTGTTGGAGACGGGATGGAGCCTGCCCGGGAAGCTCAGAGCAGCGCTCCCGACAGGACCTGCAGAGGGAGCCTGAGGCCAGCTCAGTGGGGCATGGAGGGCTGGGGAGGGCGTATGCAATGCAGAGGGACAGAAGGGCACCACATGAGTTGAGTGTAGGGTACGGGTACCCACTTTTATTGGGCACGGGGTGTTCATGCCAGAGATGAGGCTGGAGGTCTGAGGGCAGGGAGCGCATTTTGAAAGTCAGGCCAAAGACCTGGGGCTTTATTTAGGTCTTGGGAGAGGGGTGTCCAGAGAAGTTTGTGGGGTGGGATGGGAAGTAGCCTAAAAGATGATTCTGGATGGTGGTGTGTGGGATGGGGGGATCAAGAATGTGATATATGAGGAGAAGGATATTAAGCTAGGACCAAGGAAGAGCCCAAGTATAGGAGGTGTCACTAGTGTTCAGCAGAACGTGGGGACTAATCAGATGGGGGGGGTATTAGGAAAAAGGAAAAGCAAGGAGTTGAGCTTGGTTGCCACGGGCACACCTGGTTTTCTGGAAGTCACTGCTAGGGTAGCCTCAGTTTCCAGGAACATCAGCAGGAGGGTGGTAGGAGATTTCAAGGCACAAAACAGAAAGCAGGGAGCCTCCAAAGAGCCAAAATAGATACCAGAAAGTTCTATGAACAAAGCCAAGCACTCACTGATACAAGAGTCATCAATTTCTACTTAGGACTTCTTGACATACTTTGCTAACAAGCTTGGCTTTCTGGTTATTTAGGCCTTTGTAGATCAAAAGCAGCAAAGTAGGAGTTCAGTAGAATTTAAGATGTTAATAAAACATGTGGGGTTTATTTGTGGAAATAGTCAAGTAAAAAAGTCTTGACATTTGAATAAGCCAAGTTCACTATCATGTCATGGAAGTCCCAGGCCTCATTAGGAGGCTGTGGGCTCAGAAAGCCTCTGCTTCTTCGCTGGGGGTATTGGTGCCACAGGACCTGAGGTGACCCCCCTCCCTCTCTCCCGTAGACATTGCTGTGGGAGCCCCATTTGAGGGCTTGGGCAAAGTGTACATCTACCACAGCAGCTCCAGGGGGCTCCTCAGACAGCCCCAGCAGGTATGGATGGGGGGACAGGGGAGCCCGCCCCTCCTTTCCCTCACCCACCACCTCCCTACTCCCCCAGAGGGGGACCCCTACTGCCCAGAGCCTGCCCCCACTGCTTCACCTGCCCCTAGGTTATCCACGGGGAGAAGCTGGGGCTGCCTGGCCTGGCCACCTTCGGCTACTCCCTGAGTGGAAAGATGGATGTGGACGACAACTTCTACCCGGACCTGCTGGTGGGGAGCCTGTCGGACCGCATCGTGCTGCTGCGGTGAGTGGGGCAGGGTAGCCGGGCCTCGCTCCTCCGACCCAGTCTGGGCAGCGTTCTGTCTGGGTCCACCTTGGGCCCACCCCCAGCTTGAGCCCTGGCCCGGCCCAGCCTGGGGAAGGCAGGAGAGGAGGCGCCAGTGGCTGTGTTTCCTCTGCAGGGCTCGGCCTGTCATCAACATCCTGCACAGGACCTTGACAGCCAGCCCATCCGTGCTGGACCCTGCGGCCTGCACGGCCAGCTACTGGTGAGACCCCAGCCCCTGCTCTGCCTCCCATTCCTCTTTAGAACAGGCGGCTTAGGAGGGGCTCTGGCTCCCTAAACCCTCTCCTGGCAACTCGTACTATGCACTCCCCCACTTTAGAGGGTTGATTCTTGGGTAAGCCTTGTCCTCCCTCCCCAACTTCATTAAAAGGCAGACTCCTTGCAGAGGGTAATGGGAGGGTGGGAGGGTGTGGGGCGTGGAGGCCTGGGTCAGCTGTGGCCCCAAAGTGTGCAGCCCAGCTCTGGAGAGCAGGTTCCGGAGCAGGAAGGGGGAGAGGGAGACACTTAGGTGGACAGATGCGCAGAAGGACAGCTACCATGGGCAAGTTATTAATTTTTCTGAGTCTCAGATTCCTCCCCTGGAAAAGAGTCAACAACCAATTTACAGGGTTGTTGTGATAATTAAGTAAGATAATGCACAAAAAGCCCTTAGCACAGTGTCCTTTATGCCATAAGCGCACAGAAAACACTAGTCACAAAGGTGGTGATAATAATGGTGATGACCCCAAGGCCTCTGGATGAACAGAGACATTAGGAGTCAGAGCAGGGAAGCGGGAACTGGGGTGAAGGCGGCTGGGGGTTGCGATGGAAGGAAATCTAGACTAAGCTGGGCCAACAACAGGTGACTTCAGGCAACTCCTTCTGCTCTCAGGACCTCAGTTTCCCCATTGGTGACCTGACTTGGTTTTCTTTATTTTATTTTATTATTATTTTTTTTCATCTGAATTGTACTGACTTGGTTTTCAATGACTCCAATGGGAGAGGGAAGGGAAGGGGCCAGCTGCTTTCTCTCTTCCCCCTAAAGGACCCTGGCTTCTTGCCCAGTACCAAGGATGAGAGGTAGGGCCTGGCTATCGGGTCCCACTGTAACCAGGCCCTCCTGTATGTCCCCTGTCCCCCAATAGTGTGCAGGTGGAACTATGCTTTGCTTACAACCAGAGTGCTGGGAACCCCAACTACAGACGAAACATCAGTGAGTGCTGGGGCAGAGGGCAAGGGGGTGCATGCTCCCCTGCTGCTTGCTGACCTACCTTCTACCTACAGCCTTGGCCTACACACTGGAGGCCGACCGGGACCGCCGCCCACCCCGGCTTCGCTTTGCACGCAGCCAGTCCGCTGTCTTCCACGGCTTCTTCTCCATGCCTGAGATGCGCTGCCAGAAGCTGAATCTGTTCCTTATGGTGAGCCATGGGCAAGGGCAGAAGGTGGGCCCCGTGGCCCCTGGAGGAGGTAACCAGAGTCCCCCAGGTCAAGGGTGAGGAACCGGGGTCACCCTAGGGGTGGTGGGGGGAGCTGGGAGAAAGGTCATAGGTCTGTAGGAGGTACAGTGTACAGCGCCCTGCACCTGGCACAGGAGAGAAACCCTTGCTGTGGGGATCGGGGTGCAGGGGCTCATCACCTCTGAGAAGAGTGAGGTGCAGGACCCTTGACTTAGCTCACCCCTGGGGGAAAGGCTCTGTGAGTGGAGGGCAAACTGGCACATCAGGATGGAAAGATAGAGCTCAACCTGGGGGTCCTAGTGATGGGGTTCAACCCCCACCAAGAGGGAAGGAGGAGACCAATCCCCTCCCTTGTGGATGAAGGCGGTAGGGAGGGGGTCAATCTCGTGGTCAGAGGGAGAGGTTCAGTCTGGGGAAGGTGGGGGGTGTCCCTGGGGCTACCGGAGGCGTGAGGGGGGAGGGGCCTTAGCTCCTCCTAGGGGATTCAGAGGATGGTAGGAGATTTCAAGTTGGAGAGGGGCAGAACTGGGCTCAGCGTGTCCCCCCTCCTCAGGACAACGTCCGCGATAAACTGCGCCCCATCGTCATCTCCATGAACTACTCTTTACCTCTGCGGATGCCCGAGCGCCCCCGGCTGGGACTGCGGTCCCTGGACGCCTACCCGGTCCTCAACCAGGCGCAGGCGCTGGAAAACCATACCGAGGTGGGTAGGGCCGGGGCCAGAAGGGCAAGCGCGGGGGGCGAGGCCGGGGCGACGGTGGAACCAGAGGGTGCTGCGGGTGGTGGACCCTCACGCCTCCGGTCACCCCAGATCCAGTTCCAGAAGGAGTGCGGGCCGGACAACCAGTGTGACAGCAACTTGGAGATGCGGGCTGCTTTCGCGTCCGAGCAGGGGCAGCTCCTGAAGCGGTGAGCGGCGACTCCGCTAGCGGGGCGGGGCTTCTCTGGCTCCCGGGCAACGCGGGGCAGCGCCTATTGGTCAGGACGCTGGAGGACCGCGGCCTGAGCGGCGCTCCTCCCTCCCCCACCCCCTGCCAGGGGCGGAGTCTGAGGGGGGGCTTTTATTGGCCAGGTAGGACTTGTAGGCTGGGCTTCCTGGTCCGAAAGGGGACACTACCGGCAGACCCGGCTGTGGCCTCTGGGAGCTTCCCTTAGGCGCCCGCAGGTCCGAGGGGCGGGGCCTAGTTGTTCGGGGGCGGGTCCTGGGCGGGGCTTTGGTTCAGCTCGGGGCTCCTCCCCCTCAGGCTCCAGTATGGCAGAGACGTCAAGAAACTGCTCCTGAGCATCAATGTGACCAACACCCCCAGCCGGCAGCGGGCAGGGGAGGACGCCCACGAGGCTCTGCTCACCCTGGAGGTGCCGCCCGCCCTGCTGCTGTCGTCAGTGCGCCCAGTGAGTGCCCTCGGCCCGCCTCAGCCCAGCCGGTCCTGCACCTCGCATTTACACCCTTCATGCATGCACGCATTTAGCTGTGCTGTCATTTTCCTTATGTGCCCACCTCCCCGATGCCCCGTCCTGCCTGAGCCCCCCCTCCCCCAGGCCGGGGCATTCCCGAGGCTAGGGGAACCCGGTTCTGAATCATCTAGGGCTTCTGCCCTGTGCCACAATGGAAGGGCGGAACAGCAGGCCCTACTATGACTGCCCAGAACTGATTCATCGTCTTTCCTCAGCCCGGGGCCTGCCAGGCCAACGAGACCATCCTTTGTGAGCTGGGAAACCCCTTCAAAAGAAACCAGAGGGTGAGAAGTGGCCACACCCTCCCAGTTGGCTCCCGGTCTTTTCCCATGAGCTCCTTACCCTCCTGCCTGACTGCTTGGGGGTGGGGGGTGATGCTGACCTGACACAGTGGGGGACAGGATAAAACATGGGGAAGTAGGAAGAGATTGGAGACTTAGTAAAATGGGGCCTCTAGGGAGCTGTGCTCAAAGTTAAAGCAGATAGAGGTGAGGAAACCAGTTTTATTGAGCACCTACTATGTGCTATGCCCCAAGTGCAACACTTTGTGTCTTTTATGTGATATAATTCTCACAACTTTTGAGGGGATAAAAGATACTTTTACAGATTTGTTGATTTGTTCAAGGTCATATAGCTCAAAAGTAGCAGTTGTTACTGACAGAAAAAGGGGAAAAAAAACGAGGCTCAGAAAGTGTAAATGTAGACATGGGTGGGGAGGTAGACTCCCGTGACACAGATGGGTGGAGGTCAAAGAACCATCTGTCCACACCTGTCTCTGCCCCTTGGCCTCCTTCCTGCCGGACACCAATACCCTCGCCTTCCTGACTCTCCTGGCAGATGGAGCTGCTCATCACCTTCGAGGTCATTGGGGTGACCCTGCACACCAGGGAACTTCAGACACAGCTGCAGCTCTCCACGTGAGTGACCTCATTAAACCAGTCTGTGACAGGACTGAGGTGTCCTGGGGTCTCCTACAGCCCCAGGCTTAGTGGACACATCTCTTAGTGGACACACCCCCTACCTCCCCTCCCCAGGTCAAGTCACCAGGACAACCTGCGGCCTCTGAATTTGACTCTGTTGGTGGATTACACCCTCCAGGCGACACTCAGCATGTGAGTACCTTACCCCTTCCCTCAGCCTGCTGTGCCTGAGCTAGGGCTTTCCTGTCTCCACAGTGTCAAGTTCCTTTGACACAGCTCTTTGGCCTCGTATCTTCAGGCCTCCACTTGTCCTGGGTCTCCCCTAGACAGCAGCAGTCACTGGCCCTGTTGTTACTATTAGTAAGGACTGCCCTTGCCAAGTAGAGAGTAGTGGAAGAATCACCAGCTAAAGTATCCGTGTGAACTGACCATTTCTTCACTGCTCATGTGCTAAGGATTTTGTGTGTTGTCTCCTTGACTTCTCACAACAGCTCCATAATACAGTGATTGTTACTAATTCTACTGCACAGATGAGGAAACCAAGTCTTGGAGTGGCCTAATAGACCCCACAGCTGGGTAGTCTGCTGGGTATAGAGGAGCCACAGTTAATTCACCCATGGTGGCCAGCCCTCTGCCAGGGCCCTCCCATCCCTAGTGACTCCAGCATCTTTCTTACCCCTAGGGTGTCTCAGCGACTACAAAGCTTCTTTGGGGGGACAGTAATGGGTGAATCTGGCATGAAAACTGTGGAAGATGTGGGGAGCCCTCTCAAGTTTGAGTTCCAGGTAAGAGAACCAATGGGACCCTGGATTAGGGGCTCCTGGAATGAGTGAGGGGGGTTCTTTCTGGGCCTGGGGTCTGAGGATCTGAGGATTAAGGGTTGGTGAGATGGAGGCAGTTTGCCAGGAAACCCCGATATCTCTTGTGCCCACAGGTGGACCCAATGGGGGAAGGACTGGCAGCCCTGGGGACCCTGGTGCTAGGGCTTAACTGGCCCTATGAAGTCATCAACGGCAAGTGGCTGCTGTATCCTACGGAGGTCACTGTCCGTGGCAATGGGTCCTGGGCTTGCCAGCCCCCTGGAGACCTTATCAACCCTCTCAACCTCACTCTCTCTGTAAGGACATTCTCAGCACCTTCGATTTGCATGTTGTAGAGCAGAAGGGCCAGCGGCTCCCCCTGCTTTCCCTCACGCCTATCTGGGAGCCGGCCTCTGCCCTCCCCTCTCTTTCTCTCCCCACCTTTGTCCCCGCTTCTTCCCAGCAAACTTCCTCTTGACTCTCAGGTCTCTGGAGACAGGCCTCCATCTTCACAGCGCAGGCGGCGACATCTGGACCCAGGGGGGGACCAGGGTACTCCACCTGTCACTCTGGCTGCTGCCAAAAAAGCCAAGTCTCAAACCACACTGGTAAGTGGCCAAGGCAAGATCAGAGAGTATCGTGTCCACCCATCACAGGGTGGGTGGGCACCAGGGGGTGCATGGAGCAAGGGAGATGGGTGTTACTCCCTAGGAGACCCCAGTCTGCTGAGGTGATATGGCTCCTGGACTCAGGACCAGTCAGAGGGAGTACCTCATCCCTTTCCCTCAGAGGGTACCTCACTTCCTGAGCCTTGGGGAACAACTGTATATGCACCAAAGGAAAACACACTAGCTCTGTTCCCAGGGTCCCCAACCTATTAGGAATGATGGACTCAGAGCTGTGACATTGAGGCTGGGGAGTGGGGAGAGACAGAGTGTGGGGGTGCTTTCATAGGAAGGAGAGGGGAACAGGCCTGGGAAGCGAGTTGAGGCCTCACCTGGTGGAGTGATAGGTGGCGTGTCAAATGGGGAGAGGCGTGAGGGGGTTGGGGAAGAGGTGTCAGGGGTTGGGCCCCATTACCTGAGCACAGGTCGCATTTCCTGTTTCCTATGTCCCTGCCACCTGTCTCTATGTGCTTGGCACAATGATGTGTCTTAAACATGTAAGTATCTGGGGATAGGTGTGCATGAGTGAAGAGATGGGGTCAGGCCCTTTCATGCCTGCCAAGGGTGGGACAAAGCATGAAGCATCTGTGGAGACCGGGCTGCCTCACATCCTGCCTTCCCTGTCCACCTCAGTCCTGTGAGAATAACAAGACGCGCTGTGTGTGGCTGGAGTGCCCCATTCCCGATGCCACCGTCATCACCAGCGTGACAGTGCGGGCCCGGGTGTGGAACAGCACCTTCATTGAGGTCAGTGCCTGGGTCCCAGGGTCTCTGCTTCCGCCTCCCCAGGCTGGCAGAGCCACAAAGAGAGGGTGAGGCCAGGGTCACAGCAGAGCCCCCGGCGTATCAGTTTCGGCTTCGGGTTTTATGCATGACGTGTTACACACCGCCACTCTCACAGGACAGGGCCATG